AAAAAAAAAAAAAAAAAGAATATTTCAGGATAATTAAAATAATTTTATTTTTACTATAAAATTCTNACACAAAAAAAAAAAAAAAAAAAAATAAAAAAAAAAAATAAAAATGAAAAAGCTTGAATTACTGAATATTTTCTACATAATTTTTTATATAAACTTTTATATCATTTTTTAATACATATATATATATATTTTTTTTTTTTTTTCTCATAAATATATAATACTAATTTAACGTTTTTAAAAATTTTACTTCTATGTACAAAGAGTTTTTTTTTTTTTTTTTTTTATTTTGTTCATTTTAATACTTTTTATTATGATTTTTTGTGAATAACAAAAGATATTTCAGTATTTTGTATAGCTTCTACCTTTTAGTTTTTTCAAAAATGCCTAAATATTTTACTTTTTTAACTTTTCTTTTCTTATTGATACGTTATGTCCATTGTGATTTTATAATAGTCGAGTAAGGAAAATTATAGATAAATGTTATTTGTTTTTTTGTTTTTTTGTTTTTTTATTTTTTTTTTTTTTTTTATTAAATGAAACTGTGAATTCATTTTATTAATGTATAATTAATAAATATATAGATACATTTACAATTTTATACAACTTTTTGTAATCAAATATACATACATATTTTCTTTAATAGTTCTAATAAAGATGTCTATAATTTTGATAAAAATACAGTTTTGAACTTGTCTGAAGTAAAAACACCTTTTTAAGAATATTATTGATTTTTAATATTTATATACAATTATTTTTTTTTTTTTTTTTCTTTTTTTTTTTATTTCAGAATGTTTTTAATATATTTTTAGACACAAAAGTAAGGAAATACTAAAATTATGAATCAACTTTTTTAAATTATTTCATATATTTTATATCATTTTTTTCTTATAGACAAACAATTCTGATATAAAAGTAGTTTACGCAGAAATTTATAATGTAAAAATATTTTAACATAAATATATATAAATATACATATTTGAGTTATATATTATATATACATATGATTTAATTATTATTATTGTTATTCTTATTATCGTTTATTATTTATAATTTTGAATTTATAGAAATATAAGTTAGCAATAGAAGAATCATGCTCTTACGTTAAGGAATTAATTAAAGGAAGAAATCTAAAATATTTAGGTTCATTATTTAAATTAATAAAAAGAAAATTAATTTATATATTTATTCAATTAATTAATTACATAATTTTTTTTTTTTTTTTTTGTTATTAATCAGATGAGAAAGAAACAAAAGAATATATAAAATCAAAAGATGTAATTTTAAGCTTTTTATTTTATAAATTTGCTTTATAATTATATTTTAGAATTATTTATCTTTAGAAAAAAAATAATGAAATATAATAGAAAAAGAATAAATTTACTTAAAAAGTTTAAATATTATATAAAAAAATATTAAGGACCATCATTTTTTATTAATCTAAATAATTTTCTTTAAATCATTAAATTCATATATATATATATTTCTAAAATTTAACCCATTTATTCTTTTTTTTTTTTTTTTAGACATACTCTTTTTCTATTTTTGTATATACAATTAGTGGTGAACCAGGTTAATATATTTAAAATAACTAAAATTAAATTATCCCACATATATATTTTTTATGAAATTTTGCATTATACATCTTTTATTTTTTATCGTTTTATTATTAATAGAAGTTATACAAGAAGTTTATAAAAAACATCCAAAACATATATCATATATAATAACTTGCAAAGAAAATGAAATTTTTGACAACATTGAAGACGTAAAAGAATATAAGAATGTTTTCCATACCAATCCTGTAAAAATAAAATTAAAAAAAAAAAAGCTTAAGATTAAATATTTATTTTTAAGAACACTTTTAATTTATTACATACATTTTTTTTTTTTTTTTTTTTTTAGAATATCTTATCTCAATTAATTGCGATTTTTTTGATATTTTTCTTCATTATTATTGGTTTTTACATTTTAATGAATATAAGCACACCAAAAACGTTCGAAGAAAAGCAATTAATAATAAATAAAGAACAGTAAGATATTTATTAAAAGAAATGCGTATAATAAGATATATAGGCATAAAAAAAAATGAGTATTTGAAAATTTTTTAATCATACTTAGTTTTAATATATATTTTGAATCTAATGTTGTAAAATTTTGTTGCCTAATTTTCTTTTTTTTTTTTTTTTTTTTTTTAAATTTTTTAATTTATAATAAAAAATTTATGAAAATTTAATATATATATATTTTACTTTGTTTGTTTATAAGAACTTTTTATTAAAAAGTTTATAAAAAAAAAATTGAAAAATAATTACATATAAAAATAAAAATAATTTAAAAAGAAATATTACAAATAAAAAGTCTTTTTAAAAATATGTCGAATTTTACATTGATATATGTATACATATATAGCTCATATTAATAAAACCAAATATATAAAACATAAAAAATAAAAATATGGTTTATATATACATATGAAATATTTTAAAATCTAAATAATTAAATTAAGAAAAAAAAAAAAAAAATAATAAATTATTTTTAAATATATATATCTATATATATATATATATTATTATATTAAAAAACATTTGTATGATAAATATTATTATCAACATATTTTTTTAATTTTTGTGATTCTATATATTTATGAATTGGCGTTTTCCATGAATAAGGAGTAAAATCTGGTTTAACTTCTTCTGGGATTTTTGAAATATTAGACCTAAAATTCTTTTTACAAATTATACTTCTTTTTTTTTGAATTTTTTGAATTTTATATTTATATTCTTTTAAAATATTTTTAAACCAGTAATCAGGCCAATGACTAGTACAATAATGAGGTGCAAAATGACACACATACTTTTTTCCTGTCATTTTACACAACGTTTTAATAGATATTATTTTATCTAAACATCTTTTTAAAGCTTTTATTCTACTCATCCATTTATTACTACCACTAAAAGATATTTTAACATTATCCAGACCCAAAATGTATCCTAATGGCAAATATTTTCTATTCATCTTTAATCCTTTACCTAATGGTCTTGGTATTATTTTAACATGTGATGAATATTCTTGTCCACTCACAGGAAAATTTAAAATGCAATTTTTATAATTGTAATCTAAAAAATCTATATTACTGATAGAGTTTAATAATGCACTATTTCTTGCCTCTTTTATATTTTTTCCGAAACCTACTCCATATCCATATACACCTTTTCCATTACCTATTACTATAACTATTCTGATGTAATAAACTCTTCCATCTATAAATATAAAAAAAAAAAATTAAAAAATGAATTATTAATAAATGTAAAAATTTAAATTATAGAAATCTATTACTAATAAAACAAATGCTTATATTACTAATATTTTTTTTTATTATATTAACCTTTAGTCATACTCATCATTCTTTTAACCTCCAAAATAGAAGATCTCATCTCATTTAATTTTAACATTGGATCTATTGTTTCTTTTTCTCTTATATATTTATTTGTATTATGATCATAAATAGTATTAGGAATTTGCTTATATTTATATGTGTATGAATTAGTATTTTCATCAAAATTGTAAGTAATTAACGATCTATTCATATTATATTTCTTTTCCTTTTCTAAAAATAGGTCAATATCCATTTCATTATATTCACAACTATTCTTATTATTATTTAGAATAGTTACAGAAGAATTACCACAATAAATCATTTTTTTTATATCTTCATCAGATATATGCTTATTTTCTTCTAATTTGTTTATCTTTTCTTCAATGGAATTCTTAGGTTTTTCATGAAAAATATAAAAAGGAGAAAATTCTTCATAAAAAAAGAAATCAATAATATTTCTGCTTGCACACTTTAACATTAAAAAAGAGACATACCTATCACTATCTGTTATTTCTAAAAAATTGGAATTATTATTTCTTAAAAGATATTTCTCAAAATCTTTAATATCCATTTTTAACCAGTTTTCTAAACCTATTTTTTTTAAATTTAAAAACAACATATTTAATTGTTCTTCTAAATCACTATCTATTTTTTTCTCTATGAAAAATTCAATAATACTTTTAAAATAATATGTTAATTTATTAGTAGAAAAATCTATTTTATTATCTATCACATCATTATTAATAGATAAACTGTCGTATACAAAATCATTTCCTAAATTATAATATTTTTCTTTGTATAATTTTTCATTTTTAAATTTTTCATTAAATAAAACTCGTTTTATATGGCCTTTTATCCAGTTTTCTATATATTCATCTTTGATATTACTGATGTTATGTGGTAATTTATTTTTTATTTTTTTATATACACTGTTCATCCACCTTTCAACATCTGTTTCATTTTTTTCTAAACAAAAAAACTCGCTCAATGAATTAATAAATTTATATAATCTGTCATTTTCATTTTTTTCAGGTATTTTTTTTTCATCAATTATATCTCCAAATAAAAAAATTAAATCATCACAAATATGATTAGTTAAACATTCTATAGATAAGCAAAAGCTAGTTGGATTAAATATAGGCAAATTCATTTTTGTTATACTCATAAAATTAGTATCATCAAATTTTTTAACATTATTTATATCGTTAGTTGTTTTTTCGTTTGTATTAATTTCTGTTTTATCATTTAAATTAATAACATTATTTATAATATCATCTTTTTTTTCTTCTTTATCTAAAGTTTTAGCATTTATAATGTTTTTTTTATTATTATACGTATCATCTACATTTTCTTCGTAATCATCATTGATAAATTTTTTTTGAGCAAATTGATAAATATCATGATTAATTTTGCTCTCTATGTTCATAAAAACATCTTCATCAAAAACGTTAGTTTTATCATTTAACTTTAATAAATTATATATTCTTATTGCTTGTTTGTATTTTGATTCACTCATTTCTTTTTTATCTAGTTCACCCAAATTATTTGTATCTCTTTTTTTTTCCTCTATTTCCTGGTTTTTTTTTTTTTTTCTTTTAATTTCTTCTAAAATATTTTCACTTAATAAATATTCATCAGTGTCCACTTCATCATATATTAACTGTCTCAGATAATCAATTTTTTTATTTTTTATATTTTTATTTATAGTATTAATATTAATTTCATTATTATATATATTATCTAAATATTTATCTCTAACTTTTTCTTTATATTTATTCTTAAGAATTTTATTTAAATGTCCATCATGAATAAATCTCAAATTAAATAAAAGAAATTTATAATATTTTTTTTTTTCATATATATTTCTTATCATTTTAATGAAATATATAAATACCAAGTCATTTTTTTTCTCTATTAAAAATTCATTAAAAAAGATTTATCTTATATAATAAAAACAAGAAATATAAAACAAAAAAAAAAAAAAAAAAAAAAAAAAAT